AGAGTTTCCTAGTAGTTAAGTAACAATAGCAGAACACTATTATAACGTATCAGAGCCTCTTGGTAGTTAAGTAACAATAGCAGAACACTATTAGAACGTATCAGAGCCTCTTGGTAGTTAATTAACAATAGCATAACACTATTATAACGTATCAGAGCCTCTTGGTAGTTAAGTAACAATAGCAGAACACTATTAGAACGTATCAGAGCCTCTTGGTAGTTAATTAACAAAGTCATTAAACTGTAAGAACATATCAGAGCCTCTTTGCAGTTAAATAACAATAGCAGAGCACTATTAGAACATATCATAGCCTCTAAGCAGTTAAGTAACAAAGTCATTACACTGTTAGAACGTATTAGAGTGTCCTAGTTGTTATCTAACAACATCAAAACATTGTTAGAACGTATTAAAATATCTTAGTAGTTAAGTAACAATACCCGAACACTATCATGACGTATTAGAATATCCTAGTAATTAAGTAACAATTTCAAAACACTGTTGGGACGTATTAAAAACTAAAGGTAAAAACTGTTCATTTACTGATAACAAATATTGTAAGATTAGTATGTAATATTACGCATTAGATACACAGAAATCTTAGTTTATTGATTACAAAGAAAGTTGTGTTGTTTATTAAAACTCAGATACTAAATGAAAGGAAATGTTAATTTACTAATTGCAAATACATCCACACTGTCATTTAATATTGAGGTAGTAAAAATGAAGAAATGTTCACGTACTAATCACGGATAAAGAATATTATCTTTTGACATTTGAGTATTAAAAGTAAAGGAATGTTCATCTGTTGATCAAGAATGTTATATTTTGACATTTGATTATTAAAAGTAAAGGAATGTTCATCTATTGATCACGGGAAAAGAATGCTATCCTTTGACATTTGAGTATTAAAAGTAAAGGAATGTTCATTTACTAATCACGGATAAAGAATATTATCTTTTGACATTTGAGTATTAAAAGTAAAGGAATGTTCATCTATTGATCAAGTATGTTATATTTTGACATTTGATTATTAAAAGTAAAGGAATGTTCATCTATTGATCACGGATAAAAAATTTTATCCTTTGACGTTTGAGTACCAAAAGTAATGAAATGTTCATCTACTGATCAAGAATGTTATATTTTGACATTTGAGTATTAAAAGTAATTTTCATCTATTGATCACGGAAAAAGAATGCTATCCTTTGACATTTGAGTATTAAAAGTAAAGGAATGTTCATTTACTAATCACGGATAAAGAATGTTATCTTTTGACGTTTCAGTATTAAAAGTAAAGAAATGTTCACCTACTTATCACAGTTAACAAATGTTATCCTCTGAAAGGCAAATATTAAAAGTATAATATCTATTTACTAATAATAAATACAAAATCGTGTCCTCTAACATTCGACTACTAAAAGTAAAGGAATGTTCATCTATTAATAATGGAAGAAGAATGTTACTCTTTCACATTCGGCGTAAAATGTTTTAAAATGTTCATCTATTAAGCACGAACACAGAATGCTATCTTCTAACATTCGAATACTAAAAGTAAAGGAATGTTCATGTATTGATCACGGATAACGAATGTTATCCTCTAACATTGGAGTACTAAAAGTAAAGGAATGTTCATGTATTGATCACGGATAACGAATGTTATCCTCTAATACTCCAGTACTAAAAAAATAATTGTTCATTTACTGATTACATACAAATCATCTTTAAAGCGATTAGATATTCAAGGAAAATAAAATATCCCATTTATCAAAAGTTGACAAAAAAGTTTCTTTACTGTTCAGGGAATGCATCTTTCTTTATGTGATAGTATGTAAAACAAGAGATCTTCTGATAATACTGAGGATGTAGTACACTATCTTTAACTGAAACTTTGACGATTTTTTATGTATAAACATAAAACCTGAATGTAATATTACGAAGCCAGAGATAAGATAAAATAAAAGGTTTTACAAAAAAGCAAAGAAGACATGGGTTATTTTTCTCCTTAGTTAATTGTTTATGTTAGTAACAAATACAAAACCAAAAGATACCTGCGGTTCGAACGTTGTTTCCTCTAAATCAACCATATTAAGGCGTAGCCCTAATTTGGCCCTACTATTTAAACCTCTACCACAGCAGAAAGCACAGTCCACACATTACAACATAGTATACATTTATTCGTACCAGAGAAGAAGAACTCCAGCAACACATTTGCCCCCGGGCAGTCCACTGTGGACTCTGCTAGAGGGGCAGCCTGCGGCCACTGAAAGTTGGAGGGGCTTCAGGTGGCGCCCTCTACAAGCGTCCTTTTTACCAACATCATTATACGATGTAAGAAAAGTTTGAAACGGGACTGCACAGAGAAGTATATATGTTTCTAAAGTTATAGCCATTGAGAAAGTGGTTGAAACACCTATTAATATTGATTTTTATTATTATACGGTATATAACATAATCCTCCAGTTATTTACCTACTGGTGAGACAGATTCTACAGGTTTGACGTTTATTACGTCCTTGTGGTAATTATTAAATTTTACTGCTAAGGAAGCAACACAAGATGTCATTAATTTGATAATAGCGATGTCAAGAAAACTTAATCCATGGTAAAAATTTCCTCTCAGGTACCTGTTATTATTTGATTATCATTGTAATCGTCACAACAATATGTGGCCACAAGGTATCCACTTATATATATACTAAAGTAATATTTTGTATATTTTTGTAAGGTTCCATGTAATTTTATAACAAAATTCCATCGTGTAATGTTTATAGGAATAACTATAACAATGTCTATGTTTAAGTGTATAAGAATTACTTCTACAACAATGACGCAGTGTGATATTTAGTAGAATTAGTACAATAATAGCACCATGTGATGCTTGTAGTAACAACAACGTTTAATGCTTGTGCTGTTGCACTGCGTTAATTTTAGTGAATTTTCTGAATTACGTCTGGAATTACTACAACAACTAAAAATGTGATAGTTACTGGAATTAGCACAACACAAACACCATATAATATTTATAGGAATTACTACAACAACATCATAATGTGATAGTTACTGGAATTAGCACAACACAAACACCATATAATATTTATAGGAATTACTACAACAATGCCACAATGTAATATTTATTAGAATTACTATTTACTATAATTGGTACAAGAGTAACTCCATGTAGCGTCTAGCGCAGTGGAATAAATAAACAATGTCTCCATGTAATATTTAACACATTAAGCACAAAAATACTCCATTTGATATCTAGTGAAATAGACTGAGCATTATTACTTATAATAGTGACTGAAAGCATGTGTAAAGCCATAATGAATACAACTACTACATACCTGTTTACTATTTATAGGTAGATCTATTGTTACTGTTGAATACATAGCTTTAGCGACTAATCAACATTTACAGTTTCAAAACTAAATAAAATTCAAACCACAATACCACCAGAAGAAAAAGGTTTAATGTTTATACTACAACGACACGTACAAAAAAAGATACGTCAGTGCCATCTATTCAATGTTTACATCTGTTCCGTTTTACTTAGAATGATTACAATCCAGTACCAGTAGTCATATTCAATTAGCGTCAAATAGAGCATTAATTATAATGTAACTGCAGATGCATTATATCATTACAACGCTTCTAGTAATGAACATAGTTCTGACTTAGAGCATATAACTTAAGGTGAAGTCCCGTTAGCAGTCAGTATATACAACTGTTACAACAATTAATACAACATACATTATCATTTCCTGGTGTATTAATGTTAGTAATCATGAAGTTCCACTAATATTTGATATAAAAACCATAAATCAGCATGCATAAGCATCTACAGTAAAACTGTAAAAATAAGGTTATTTCAATTTATTTGTTTATTATTTTTTACTTCATTCGACTATAATTATCCTGCCTGATGTCAGTGAAGATTCGATGAAGAGGCTCTTGAAGCTATTCACTTTCTGTCAGTAATTTTAAGCCTAGGTAAAATTGCAAAATCTAATTATAAAGATAACTTTTCTCTATAAAGTCTGTGCTGTTGCACTGCGTTCATTTCAGTAAAATTTCTTAATTAGTTCTAGAGAAATTCTTATCAGATATTGGCATTGATAAAACTATATTTATATAAAAACAAGGATCGTTGATGTAACAATACTTACAGTAACACGTTAACAATCCATTTACCAAGGAGGAATTAGAATCCAAGTTACCAGAACTAATCCACACTATATTAATATCTACAGCAACACGTTTACTGAGTAGAACTATATACTGATGAAGCTTACAAATATTATTATAATACTACAATAGTGCTAATACTTCCAAATGGCTTGATCTGCCTCTAGTACTAGATAGCAGTATTCTCTGTCAGTGTGTCTTAACACTATACGTTTATTGACTAAGTTAGTGCATTATCTGACACTGACTAGCCTGTTAATCATAAAATATTTTTTATAGTCTTCGTATTGGTATTAGTGTTGGAGCTGAATGAACCCACTGTTTAAGTTATCAGCACAGCTGTGCTCATTTTGAACGTGCCTTTCTGCGTAAGAAAAGAAGCCTCCAGCTCGGCGGGTGACCTTCGTGGCCCTGACAGTGTTGGCTGTACAAAACCGTTAGTCACCCACATCAAAATTGGCTTTCGTCGAGCCCAGACACAACACGGTCCTGTCCTTCCGCCCAGTGGAATGAAGCAAAAACCGCCTGGGCAGCGGAAACAGCCGTTGAAACTGGCGTCGCTGTGGGTTTCTGCCAAGACAAGGATGGAGTGAGAGAAAACGTTTATACTGAGCGTGTTTACCCTCTCCTCACGTACATACTAATGAATATCTGCCTACCTACAGTCAGTCAGGTTGACATAACTTCCAACAGTGAAAAAATATCAGGGAAAGTACTTTTCACCAATGTAAAAAAAACAAAAAACTTAGTTCTAAAAATTAAGTTCTGTTATTTGTATTTACAAAAAGATGACCACTTACATAACTCACACAAACGCGCATGCATAAATCCATGTATAATGAGAAGTTCAATGAACTTTGATAAGTCTTAAGTTTCAGTTTATTAATTTTTGAATCAATGATGTACGTGGTTATTACTAACTCCGAAGATGTAAACAATACCAATCTGTTTAGCACCACGCGACTTACTGTAGTTGTCAATCTTTGCACAAGTTCAGGTAAAACCGTTACCTTTTCCAAATCTAAAAACATCAAACGACGACACATGAAAAACTGCTCATGTGAATATCTAGAGATATAAGTTTGGACCAATTTTAGAGGATTTTAACCATCTGCGAGAGGTGTTTTTCCATGTGTTGTGTTCTAATGCTTTTCGATTCGAATACTATTTTGAGTTTAGACAATCTCATCTGACTGGTAGTTATGCAAAGGCTGAAAAATAAAACAGCTGATAATCTTCACAATAAGTGAAAGTTCATGAAGAATGAGAAACTGACATATTACACTAACTGAATTATAAAATAATTAAATGTTAACTGAACAGATAGAACCATAATCAGTATATAGCAATTGTTTGGTTAATATATTTCAAGTTTATTAATGTCACGTAAGTGAACTACGTCCAGTAATAATACATACGCTAAATACATAGTACAACGTACTGCTACAGAGCTCTTGGATTCCAAGAAACAAAAATACACATGACACGCAACTATAATTTCCTTGCGAGGTTTCACAACTAAAACCAAACTAACTTAGAACAAAACATTTTAACCCGCCATTGACGGCTGTCTAATTGTTGGTAACTTTATCCTTATACTTACTTATATTAATAAGGGTTTATAGTCGTGTGTTTATTTGTATCATCCAACACTTATAAAACATACCTTTCGAATCAAATACACTTATACTGTATATGTAGCCTAAATAAATAAACATAGTTCTAATTTAAAATAACACATAAAGATTTGAGTCTGACAGAGGTAGAAAATGCGCAAGTTTGTAAATTATAGATCTATTTTAGATATTAAGATTTCGATAAGACTAGTTCGTAAGATAAGAATTACAAAGATCATAAACAATTTTAAAGTTAACCAATTGAGGAGGAAAATAGGGCTTTAAGTTCAGGATCTAATGATATGAAATAAAGTTATGACGTGAATAGCTTTAAAGTTTCGTTAATATAACTTTAAAGCTCAGAGTTCTTGGTTACTTAAGACGCACTGATATGGGTCAAGTTAGTTTTTATTGTGTTTGTTTTTAATCCTGGTTAACAGTATTAACAAGTTCATGTTACATTTTATTTTACGGTTCTTTCTTAAAAAGTTAATTAAGTCTTAATCTATCAGAAAAAGTCTTTCTTATCAGTAGAAAAGTTAGAAATTCTTAAAGCATAATAAAGTGTCATGTACTTACAGTGAAAATAAATATCATCTTCAAAGAGCTACATTAATTATATTGTCGCCCAGTGACTCAGAGGTAAGCCTGAAAGGCTATAACGCTAAAATGTGAGGTTCAATTAATGCAGGTGGAAGCTGCGTAAATAGCCCATTTTATAGGTTTGCGCTTTAAAAAACAAATAAACTAAACCAATTTTATTTCGTGACCGACATTTCACGTTATATTCTTTTTCAGGTTACGTTCTCATCAGAAGTACATAACGTTTCAGGTTATGTTTTCATCAAGAGTATATCACGTTCTTATCACGTATTTGGTTATGAAGTTTTTAGAGATACATTTGACTGCATATACAGTTAGGATGATTGTGTCGTAATAAATAATTTTCAAAATTTTGGTAAATATTTTTGATATCCCGGTTTTATGTTCAAGACTAACAAAAGTGGTTTAAATCATGTTTGTCTCTGCTATTTTTTCACAGGTTTCAAATCAGACATGTGCACAAACAGCTTCTGATATACCGTCTATCACAAGTCGCTGCTCAAGACGCCTGAAAAAGCTATATTATTCCTCTAGTTTAGACCCTTTTCTCTATTTAGAAAAATCTGTTTAAACCTATTTTGATAACGTTTGTTAAACAACTCAACTTTAATTTCGGGTCCTGAAAAGGAATTAGTTATGATTGTTAATGTGGTCACTTGGAATACTCAAAAAAAATAAATAATAACCATGGTTAGTACTAGCAAGCTATTGTTTTTGTTGTGTTTTTTTTCCCCCATTCTTCGCCTAAATTCACTCGCACCTGTATGAAAGGAACAGCGATCGTTACATTAATTAGGTTAGGTGAACAGGTCATTTCGACTAAGAAACACGTGGCTTCAAGAAGTCATATCGCAACAGTCTCGAGTGCCTCAAGAATCACACTGGGGACATGAGTATGCATATGGAAACATTAATTAAGTTCTTTTGGTGAACTTTGTTGACCCCAAGCCCGTGGGAGCCTCGCCTTAGCGACGAGATCGGGATCTTGGAAACGTTCTGACAAATGCACTGTGCTGCAAAATCTTATTCTCAGAAATGACTACTAATAAAAGTACTTCTCGAAATATATAAAGTAAAACAGGCAAAATGGCATAAGTTTCAAATATGTATCAATTTTTTTCGATACTGATTTATTCTTCTTCAACTTTTTTGATTTTTTCGTCTTAAGAAGAGATGTAGTCGATATGGAAAGAAATTTCATTTTTCTGAAGACGCAACAACTATAGAAATTATTGTTTATCTTAACAGTTATGTCTCCTGGTGAAAGCTTTGGAACTAATAACACTAAAAATATGGGTTCGATCCCCGCTTCAGACATAAATCAGATAGCCTATTGTGTAGATTTTGCGCTATAGCACACAAATCTTACGAGGTGACAAAGACAATGTTTAAATAGCGTGATACTTTTGTTTTAAAAAGTAATAGACATTGTTTAAATTACTGTTTTTGTTGTAACAAAATTATTGTAGAAATAGGTTTTTTGGTTAAGAAGTAAAGACACAATGTTGAAAGAAATTATTACTGACATTTTTATTTGTCTTATGAGGTGACAGAGACAATTCTTAAATAACTTATGTTTTTTCAATATTTAAAGAAGTGTTTGTGTGTTAAGACGTGAAACAGGCAACGTTTAAAAAACTGATACACTTATTTTAAGACATTACATAGTCAATGTTTAAATAACTTATTTTGTCTTCAGGTATAACACAGACAGTGTTTAAGAAACTGATGATCTTGTCTTTTAACACGTAACTTCATGTTTAAGGAATGCATGTGCTTGTCTCAAAAGGTGGCATAATCAACGTAATGTTGTTTTCTTAAAGATGAAGCTTGCGCAATGTGTAAATAAGTTATTATTGACTTTTTCGTCTCAAAACATGACAGAGATAATGTTTTAAAAGAAAGGACTTTCTTTAAAGATGTGGCAGAGAGAATGTTTAAAAAGCTGACGGTCTTGTCTTAAAAGGTGACATAATGTATAAAGAACCGATGCTCTTGTCTGAAGAATTGACGCAGTCAAAGGTTTGATAACTGATTTGTATTAAATCATGACAGAGACAACGTTTGCAAAATAATGTTCTTGATTTACAAAGAATAGAGTCAATAATTAAAGATCCGATACTTTTGTGTGAAGAAGCAACAGAGTTTAATGAACCGATAGTTTTCTGTTAAGAAGCGACGGAGTCAATGTTTAAAGAACCGATCCGTTTGTGTGAAGAAGAGACAAATTCAGTATTTACGAACAGGTACTTTTGTGTTAAGAAACGACAGTGTCAGTGTTTAATGAACTGATAGTTTTGTGTGAAGAAGCAACAGAGTCAATGTTTAACGAACCGATACTTTGTGTGAAGAACTGACAGACTCGATGTTTAAAGAACCGATACGTTTGTGTGAAGAAGAGACAAATTCAGTATTTACGAACAGATACTTTTGTGTGAAGAAGCAACAGAGTCAATGTTTAACGAACCGATACTTTGTGTGAAGAACTGACAGAGTCAATGTTTAAAGAACTCATGCTCTTATCTCAAGAGATGGCATAGACAACATTTAATATATTTATTATTTTATATTAACAGGCCCCTCACGAGCCAGTGGGGGACATTTTTGTTGAAATAAAAACTATTCAATCTGGTTTTCCTTAATTTGAACTGAAATTTTGTGGACATTTTTACTGGCTTAAAGAAGGCATTTCCCACAGAATTTTATCGTTGAGATTGCGAAATGGGATTAGAAGTGATAACATGACTGAAGTCCGTTAGCGCATCACGAGCTTAACGGCCAAGCTCAAGAAGCATGCAAGTCTCCAAATAACACGCAGAGGTATTCAGGAACCGTTTAGAACCACCTTGATAGATAGTGTGCAGCAAGCCAAGTACAATATTATACCTGTAGCTGCTTTCAAAGTGTTCAGGTCTACTCTTCCTACTGCTGACTATCGTGATGCCTCGACCTTCCTACCGAATCGCAGGTGAAGTCGTTCGGATCTCAATTGAAAGCTAAACATAAAAAGGTGATAGCAGAAGCATAGAAGGTTGGCAATTGCTTAATTAATGATGATGAGAATGTGGTTTTATTGATATATACTGAATTTTACTCCCAGCGAGTAGACCTTAGTACTAGCTAGTATGGAGATTGAACTTACTTTTAATGTTCAACAAATTGTAATGTAAAGACACACCTTGGCTCTTGAGAGACCAGTTAATATGTGGCATATTTAATGTCTAGCGAATTCAATCTGTTATCTTAAGTGTAAAAAGAACTAATATCCACAGGAACTGTTTTTTTTTGTATGTTTTTTTTCCTCATTTGCTATCAGATATTTGCGTAAGCCTACTCAATATCTGTCTGCAATAACCGTCTCTAATTTTGAAATGATAGACTAGAAAGAAGACAACTCGTCAACAGAATCCACCACTACCTCTTGGGCTTCTCTTATCTGACCGATAACTTAAAAAGAAAAGCTCTTGGTAATACAGAAATAAGGTTTAAAATCGAAATATGAACAGCGTTTAGAACATAATTCAGTAATGAGTGTAAGGACTCTCTCTTTGATAAATGCAGCTGAGTTAACTGTTCAGACACCAAGTTTAAACAGCGAGTAACAGCAGCCCAATAAACTATAGAAAACCCACTTTATTAATGATATCACAGCATCCAGTTTAAAAGTCATAAAACAGAAACCCATTAAACTACAAACACCTGGATTTAAAATGTGATAAGTTCAGCTGCAACAACCACAAATCTTAAGTTTAACAATGAGATAAAAGCACCCCAATGAACAATAGACACACAACTAAATAATAATATATACTAACCTAATAAACTATAGACACCAGTTTAACAATTAGATAACACTAACGCATACCCACTCTACAGTACACGAGTACAATTTTAACTGTGTAAAGCATCTATTATTAGTCTTTGAATAAAATAATATGAAGATAAAAAAGCACTATGTAAAATCTCGAATAAGAACAACAAGATTCTTTATACATCAACGTTTTACGCGTACTTACAAAGCATGGTGTAGTATTCAGCTTGTTAAATCAGCTTAAAACTAACGCATGTGATCATGTTTTCAGCGCTGAGAACTACAGTGGTAGATTTAAATTGGTGGTCAACCGCATCATGTATTTACAAACAAGGTAAAATGGTTTAACTTACTACAGAGGTTAATATAACTTCTGGTAATAATTTTAAAATATTTGAATACTGAATAGTATTGAAATATATTATCATGCATTCGTAATTAATCTTGTAATCACAAACATTACAAAATCTATTTAAAAGCAGCTCTAAGAAAGCATTAGATTATTTACGAAGAACTTGTACAGAAAAAAATATTTTCCCTCCCCCCCTCCCCGATTATAACCTCTATCACGAATGGAACTAATAGGATTAGCTCATTAGGGCGCAGAGTTACGACGAAATGGGAGTCAAAAGAAGGGGGAGATCATTCCCCTTCTTAGAACTTAACGAGCGTTTTCCACAATCCTTCTTTAACGAGTCTGCAAATTTCACCCATATATATTTCACTACAGAAAATGCCCTTTTAATAACTAAATCAAATTTACCACTCAAACCTACAGCACATCCAATGTAGAGTTGTTAGTCTGACTTTGTGTACTTCAAGAAAAATTAACCATTCAGTCTAGAAATCAGCATACACTGAAGCCACTTTTCTGTAAGAGAACATTTATGACGAACAGAAGATGACGATAGAGAGTATAGTAAGGTATAATTCTCGAAACTATGTTGATTGAAGATTCGTGCAGCCTATTGTCCAACATTTGTTTGGTCATTTGCTTTGCAGAAAAACTAGGTTTACCAGCAGATGTAACATATGAGCTATATATATGCATAGTGCAATAACTTCCATTCTGAACATCCAGCTTCCGGTGAACAGGCTGTTACTTCGCACACAAATATCATTGCAGAAAAACTAGGTTTACGTTTAGAAACTAATTCTACCAATTTTAAAGTTTAGAATGGAAACATCTTTAAAAATAAAATGCTTAGTCTACCTCGATAAGAAACAATTACAGCAGATGTAACATATGAGCTATATATATGCATAGTGCAATAACTTCCATTCTGAACATCCAGCTTCCGGTGAACAGGCTGTTACTTCGCACACAAATATCAAAACTTTACAAGACGTTACTGATCCAGGTTCTCAGAAACTTTACAAGACGTTACTGATCCATCTTATTTGTGTGGTCGCGTGATCAGATGAAATAAATAACGTTTATTTCTGAGAACCTGGATCAGTAACGTCTTGTAAAGTTCCAAAGGGTTCTCAGAGGACATCATACTTTCCGGAGAAAACATGAAGATAATGGTGAGAAAGTGCAACTCACTTTTCCACAGTAAACTACGTATCTTGTGAGGGTATCAATAAAATAAGTGAGAAGACAAAAATTAATCGCTTATTAATTTGGCCACTTAATACCAAATAAGTTTCTAATGCTTACTGTACATATTCGTAAATAATTATTTATAAAGTTCTTGTACTTCTTTTTAACTCTGTTGATGCTCTCTTGTACCATTTAAAATAAGTTGTTTTCTCTGACGTTTGTTTTCACGCAAGATGTTATATTTTATTCCATATATATTTGTTTAATGGTTGTTGTCTTTGACGAATTTCACTTGAATTGCATTGTCGATTTAAAACAATTGGAAATACACGTAATGT